TTCCATTAGATTGAAAATATATTTCCAGGCAGACAGCATTCATTTTCTGAATATCTCTACCCTGACATTACAAGAGTCACTACAGTGCTGTCTAGACACTGCACACTGAGACATAAGCTAGCTATCTTGGATTCCAGTAGTAGTCTAGCTGTGGAAAGACAGAGCACAGCATGGTTTAACCACTAGAGTATTTACCCTTCCTCTTTTAACTACAGAAAGATATTTTACTACTTACGCCATTTAATCGGAACAAGTACAGGTTATTTCTGTGTCCAGACTTAATCCTAATGTAACTTTAGAAAGGAAACGTCATTAAACAAAATAAACTTGGGTCCATTTCTGAATACACAGGTTCAAAAACACACACAGAAGGTTCTGTCTGTATGTCTTAGCTCATTTCTAAAACGAGGGCAAGCTCTTAAAGCACATATTACAATACCCATTTTCTTGCTTTCACACAGTGAAGGAGGCTGGTGGAGAGTCCATTCCCTCACAACAGGTCGAGAAAATTATATTCCAGGAAAATACGTAGCAAAGGTTTACCACGGGTAAGTACGTGCTTCCCTTCAGCCTTTCAACCTGATGTACATAAACTTCCCTGGTTACAGTTATTTATTGTCATAACCAAAACAATGCTAACAGTAACTAGACAGACAGAAGTTACAATTGGTAATAGCCTATAAGTATCTGCATCTCAGTTCCCTTGATATATGACAACATGAAATCCATATCTAAGTTTAAAAGATTTGCACACACACACACATATATTTGGAAGAGAAAATCCTAAGTTTTAAATGACTAGAAATATCAAAAAAAAAAAAAAAAGCTCTAATGGCATGTAAAATGACTAAAATACTTCTGCTCTTTGGGCTGATCTCTAATTTTAAAACACTGATAAAGAGAACCTATTTACAAAGAGTTTTTAGCATTTACAAAGAACAAAATTAAAGCTGGATTTTTTTAATGAAGAAAATACCAAACGGAACAAAACTAAATCATCTAAAAATGCGAATTCTCCCTCAGGAAGAGCTAAGGAAGGTTCAGAGGTTTCTTGTTGCCCTAGACACCAACTAGGAAAAAAATTAAAGCACGCACTTGCAAACTTTCCCGAAAAGGTTTTAGTACCTGTTTAATTTCAAGTATATGAACTGGGAACTTCTGTGGTGTTTTGGCAAGTGCTTAAAATTTAATATGTTTCTATATCCACCTGCAACAGAGATGCTTTCCCAAATGTGGGGCACAGATATGGTAACAGAAAGCTACTGTGTGAAATTTTCCGAAGACAGTTCTGACCATTTTGCTGATGGCAGACTGGATCAAATACACAAAAACCAGTAACTCCAACACCAGCAAGATTTGCTCACTAGAAATATCACTCAGGCAAGCTCAGTTACGTCATTACTCACTAGCTGGGCCAACATACAGCAACGTACCAAGCTATGAAGAAAACCAGTGGGACTAATTCTACCTTATCCCATAACTAATTAACTTAGAAGACTGCACTGCGGCCTAGCATAAGCAGAATAACTGTATTTTAAGTCTAGGTTAATCAAAGTGGTTAAAATGACAAAAAGTTCAGATGTTTCATCTCAGGGATTATATTTCACAGTAGCAGACTTTCAGTATGCCTGGTCCATAACAACACACCAAATGCAGAGAAGGTTTAGCCAGCTCTGAGATGACTCCCAAGGCAACTTGATGCCATGCCCTCAGATCATCAGCTTCTGCGACTCAAGCTAGTATCTCAAGGCCATATCGCAATAGTCCAGACAAAGCAGCTCCCTGGGAGCTAACAGATCTTTAATGGCATAGAAATGCCATCCATATGTCATATGGACGTGTCCCCAACAACTCACATCAAGGCAGCTTGAAAAGTTTTGTCTATCCTAATAAGTCCAAACCTTATTCATTCTCCTCCTCCTCTTAGCCTCAAAAACGTTAATGAAAATCCACACATGAAAAAGGAGAGCAAGATTTTCTCCATAAACTGAGGAAAGATGCCTGGAAATAGTTGAGAGAATAACTACAGAGAGCCACAGTGCTATTTTTGCAGCCACTTTCCTGGCTAGTGCTGCACTTTCAGGATCGCATGCTGCTCTCTGTTTCAGTGGTGTCCAAATTTCAGAATTTGTTTTTTCCTACTTCACAGCTGGTTGTTTGAAGGGTTGGGGAGAGAAAAAGCAGAGGAACTTCTACAGCTTCCCAACACCAAGGTCGGCTCCTTCATGATCAGAGAGAGTGAAACTAGGAAAGGTGAGAAAATATGATTTTCCTCCCTCTTGATCTCGGGCATTAATGCTTCTGCAACTCATAATTCTCCCCTGTCCTGCTTCATATGCATCAGTTCAGAAACATAAAACGTACGTAGTGAGAAGTCAAAGCCTCCCAGTACAGCATGTTGGTCTTCATCAGTCACCTACACAACGAGCAGTGCTGGAAATGAGGTTAGTGGTGGCCATGGAAAGTTCCACAGGCATCAGCACAAACAACACCCAGTTGTTTAAACATTATTATTTACTTTGGTTGCATGCAAAGCTTATTAGGCAGTGGGGCTTTTCAAATGGAGTAAAAGTAGCAGTTTTGCCTCCGTCCACAAAAGACTGGCTGAAGAAGGTATAAATTACACACTAAGTAGTGGGGCTGACTGAAAAGTGCATTTCCCATGTAAGCAGGTGGTTCTTTTATTTATTTTTCAAAAATGATATGTTTTCAATTTTCTTTTGACTATTTTTCCCACCATTTTTCTAAACTAGATTGGGGTAGCAAATCAGTTTTCCCACCCCACACATGCTCATACTCATATTTACTCTTTGCCAACATATCCAAATGTTTCAGCCTAAGCCAAAATGATTCTGATTTAATTATGTTGCTGCATGGAAATTGTACTGTTCACACTTCACGCTTTCACCCTCTTCAATGGGCCTAGCTGTCTTGCTGGAGTACATCTGCTGTTGCACACTATGAGACTTCCCATTTTCCTGAAGCATCATAATAGATCCTAATTTCATGGTACTGCAGTTAGAAGGGAACACTAAATCATCTACTGCAATCTCCTGTATACCACGAGCCAATAAGTTTCATGCAATGCCCCCATTCACCTCAAACAAGTTTAGGCTCAATGTTCAGTCCTTACTAGTGATGCATAATCGTTTAGAAAAACAAGCAAATAGGAAAACTTAAGGTGTCAGCTCCTGCCAGAATTGTATTATTATCTGATATCAGCTACTGCATTATCCGGAGCTGATTAAGAGAGACCCCAGCAAATGAGTCTGGCCTCCCTCTTCAGCAGAAAGCACAGAACTTCTGTAAAAGCCTAAGTCTCTACAACCTTTCCAAAAACAAAACAAAACAAAAACAAAAAAACTCATCAAGGATAAAGGAAAAAATCCCCCTTTTTTTTTTTTTTTAAATAAATCGGTATCCAAGGCTCTGACCCTGGACCCTTTACACTTGAGTTGTATAAATTAGGATGGCCACTCAGTTTTGCAGATGTTTCTGGGACCTTTTGGAACATAGGACCGCCCTTTAAAGATATGCTGGTTTTGATCACTGTTACCTAACTAGAATTAGAGTCTAACTTTGATGCGACTTAGTTCTCTTGTTTCTGCAGGATTATATTCTTTGTCAGTGCGGCACAGGCAAGTGAAACATTACAGGATCTTCCGTCTTCCAAACAACTGGTATTACATCTCTCCACGGCAAACCTTTCAGTGCCTTGAAGACCTTGTGAATCACTACTCAGGTAAAAAGCAATTGCAACTGCAGAATATATATATTTTCCATAAGTAAGTGTAGAACTATTTATCAAAGGTCCAGGACACAAATTATTGACTATGTCTGAGACATAGTATGTCAGTAGTATGACAATGGAAATAACTTTTGTTTTATTTCTTTGACTTCATTTTTGATCCTGATCACAAATACTCTACTCCAACAGCTCAAATGAAATCAGTCTGAGAACTGAGCTAAATAAAGACAGATAGGTTATGCCAATATTGTCATATCATATTGCATGCCCTAATGGCCATGTCTTTAGATATGTTCCCTAGCACTATTTTGACCCAAAACAACTAGCACTTTCCTAGGCAATAGTCAGATAGCTTTTGGATGCTGGCACAGGCCAGGGACATCCAGCCTCCCTCTCAGAGCATAGCTAACTTCAAAGATTAGGTGTACACCTAAAGTTATCCTGTATGGATGCGACTCGTGCTTCTGGGCCTCAGGGCCAGAGTTCGGTTCCTGGTTTACCAGTGTAGACATATTTGCCATGTATTTACCCTACAGGGCAGACAAATGGTATCATGACACACAAAACTGGGCTCAGCAACCATGATTGGTCCCCCTTGGGAACCATTATGTCACATAACCCTATTTGCAGTAGATAATTCTCAGATAGTTTGTTAGTTTCTTCCTTATTACTTTCAATTAATGTGGCTGGATTTTATCAGTAGAATTTAGCTGAAAGGACTCAAAGCTGTTAGGTCAAAGCTAGATTCAGATGTCATTTATAATCATAGAAGTACAGTGGATAACATCTGTTTTAATGACAATATTTCAGATTTATGGAAATGTAATCTGTGAAAGATAACTTGGCAAACAACACAAGTAAGTGGCTACAATTATAGATCATGAAAATGAAAAAAAATTAAAATGAAAGAGGAAGGAAGATTGCAGTAAGTGTATTGCATAAGAGTTACGAGATAACAAAGGGCTCTGTGCTTTAATTAGTAACGGGTACTCTGTAATTTAAAAAGTGTAAAGCCACCATATTTGCATATTTCATTGGTAAATGAAATAGCCTGTTGGCCAAAGAGCACATTGAGAAATTTGAGAGAGGAAAAAAAAAAAAAAAGACTTTTGAAGCATGCATGCTACGTGAGGAGATAAAAAGAAAGTTAAGCCCAGTGAGGAAAACAAAGCAGTGAGAATCTGAATAGGATATTTTTCTTTTTCTTTTCTTTTCTCTACATAAAGAGAAATGAACAATAAACCTTTACAATTCTGAAAAAAAAACTTCAAAAGATTAACAATCTTTTGTTAATCAAAGATTTTCACTTCAATGTTGTAAGTGTAAGAGCATATGTAGCAAGATTTAGCTCCACTCCTGCTAGCACCATGAGATGATGCAGAATTTCATCCTGAAATAAGTCTAAAACGTCAGGTAGAAAACATCAGCATCCACAATGACATTCTCTACTTGTGTAGCAGAAGATATGCGGTGTAAAGTGGCAGCATGGTAGGTACACATATAGTCCGGTTTGAGTGGTTGCGTCTTGCATCCATTTTGTACTCTGTTTGCATGGCTGAGGGGATGAAAAGCAAAAGCAGAACTCACTACGGACTCAGGAAACTTGGGTTTAAGTCCCTACTCTATCACAAAGATCCTCCTAGACTTGAGGCTAGTCACTTAATCCCTCTCTCTCTGTGTCTCAGTTCCTCACTTGTACTATGGAAAATGCAATCCATGTTAAATTAAAGGGGAAAGTAATGAAGAAAGTTGATCCTATTTCCTAGTGTCCGAGCTGAGGACACCCTTTATATTGACCACATCTGTGTCCAGGAGTGCTTATTAAAGCATAATCCAGGAAGAAAAACAATGGATGACGATGAGTAAGGATTAACTTTGTGTGTTTATTTCCCTGTCAGAAGTTGCTGATGGTCTCTGCTGTGTCCTTACAACACCTTGTCTTACCCAGTGCACTAACAACAACAGTGTTATCAGCCAAGTTCCTCCTGTGGTGATGCGGAACAAAAACTTCAACTGGAGAAGCATACACAGGTACCACATGCAATGCACACAGTCAAAAATAACATTTCTTTTTTTCCAGCCTTCTTAAATACTTGCACTTACAACAGAGGAGAAACAGCCATTTGCTTCTCCAAGCAGGTTTAACTGCCTTAAGATCAGTTTTAAAGCTCAGTCTAAACTTCAAAGCTGTAGATACCATTTTAATTCATGAGAATTAGGATGTTCAGCTCTCCAGTGACCTGAAAATCTCAGAGATCTAACTTTGAAAGAAGTAAGAAGTATAATTATTGTTATATCCTTTATCCAGCTAAAATTGAGGGAATATAGCAGTTCAGCTGGGACTCGTGGGTCCATAGATACCACTCTGTCAAGGGGCAGGGCTATAAGGCAGGCCATAATGCCTACAATCAGATCCACCACTAACGGTAAACTAGTATGCAATTGCTTGCAAATGAGCCCCTGTACTTAAAGATTGCTCCAGCTTGTTCATATGATGGCCATCCACCTCTAAAGAAGCACAGGTGTAGTGAATACATGGTCCCAGCATACACCTTCCTGTTTCTCTCCTTCAATATAGCTCAGTTCAAGATTTACAAGATTTCTAGTATCATGATGGCAACTAGAGAAAGTAGGTCAGGTTTCAGAAACTGTGAAACAACCATCATCGGAAATAGAAGCACTTATTTCTGAAGTGTATGTTTGCCTCCATTAGCTGCTTACTCTTCTTTCACAAAGCATATTCATTTTCTTACAAATGTAAGAAGATTTTGCATAGTATTGAAGCTGTTTTTCCTACCGGCTGAGAAGAAAGAGAGAAAAAAAGTATATAGATGTTATTTGCTTTTTCAGATGTGCAGAAATATTTAGATAGTACTGTTGTACTAGTTGTTTTGGAAAAATCACTGAGACAGAAATATTTGGTGATTTATGAGCCAGCAATTATTTTTTCATAAAACAAAATAAAACTTATTATTTTTAATAACTGTTAATATTGCTATAATAGGCTCATATTAAGTAACTGAAACATTAAGCGTTCTTTGTTCTTTTAAAGGCTGGAGATGACTGAAGATGCCGAAAGCACACTGGCAGCAATAGATGATTCTTGTCTCAGCTATGGCCTAAGGGAAAGCATTGCTTCCTATCTCTCCTTAGCAGGGGATGACAACTCTTCTTTTGCAAGTGCCAGAAAGAAGAAAACCCAGTCTCTCATATACACAGGGAGTAAACGTAAGAGTACCATTCACTTGCCACCTACCTACTATGAAGACTGAACCTAAGACAAACTGGGGAAAAAAAAAAATGAACTGAAGGGTAGGAAAAAACCCAGAGCATCCTGTGGGCCTGCAGTCCTTTGACATCTGAGAGATATGAGCGCACCAGCTGAAGACCAAATGCTGGCTATGCTTCTGCATTTCCTCTGCTGAATGTTGACCAGAATGATGACCTTTTTTAGGGTCATCTGAGCCACAGCATAGGCTGGGAACAGGCTCAATGCACCTGAAATTAGAACCTGCTTGCAAGGAAGATGAACCTCAGAGAGAGATTCTTAGAAAAGAGCAAATGAGGCAGAGACTTTTCAGTAAGGATGATGTCCACCACTGTACAAAGACAATTGTGTCGGGAAGGACTATCTACAACCTAAGACCTTAAATTAAGGCCTGGTATTATGCTGAAATACACCTTCACAGCACTTCCCCACACTGAGAAGAGGAGCTTCTTTCTTCTCAGTATAGAATCATTTTCTAATCCAATATCACTGCAAATGAAAGTCCTCAATAAACCCAGGAATATATCAAGTATCTGGCATCCAAGCAAGACCTCATGATATCAAATCTGTATTGCCATTTTTACCTTCTTGGAAAAAAAAATAAAATCACTGGCTTTCCAAGTGACTTGTAATTGAGCTGCTAGCAGCAGCCAGCTGTGTCACAAAGAGGTCCAAAACCTAATAACAGGCTTAAGTCACTGAGAAGAGCAATTCCTACATAGCTCTGAGGCAAGAGTACAGGCATATGCAAAAGCAGAACTCAGCTGCTCATAGCCTAGCAGTTATTCAGAGAACAAAACTTTGTTAAGGGAAATATAAAAGGTGATAGTATCATGCCTTACTGCCAAGGTAGGCTTGCAAAGCTGCGACCTCTTTTGTGTAGGAGGTCAGATTTTAATCCCACCTCCTGAAGACACCCCATATTTATGTATAATATTTATATTAATATCAGCTTTTTTAATAACTAAACTATAGAGCAAATTAGCAACAGTGGTTATTAGTTTTCTGCATTTCTTGTCTGAAGCGAGTTATGTCAAATTGCAACAAGACGTTTCATTAAATTCCTATAATGATTTGTAAATTGATTGTCTTCAGTTTCACAGATCAGAGAGGTTTTTTGATACGTCTGTATCCTTTACCGATCTATAACGAAGCAGATAGCATGGTCCTTTGAACCCGATTTGCGATTGCCTTCTGAATCAAGTCGTCACTCACATCCAGGATTGTGAAATGCTGCAAACCATGTACCTGAATGGAGATCTTTTTGATCAACTATTCTGTTGCACAGATTAGAGTAATCAAGTGTAGAGACACAGGGGATTGGGCTGGAATATATGCATACACACACACACACACACACACACATATATATATATATATTTCCTGTAAATACCTCTTAGCACAAATCTGTCTGCTCTTTAGATCTTATAACAGATCATTTACACTAGCAATAGAAAATCGGAGATGAAACCAGCTCACAGCCTGCTTAAATACAGTTTGGGACTTTAACGTGCAAATGTAATTTGGCTCACAAACATTGAACACCACAAAGCAAAATGAACTCAGGAACTCTAGGTGTTTTTGTAACCTAATTACTGCTACTGATCATTAATATGTTATTACAATGACTGCATTTTAACTAACAAAATGTATATGCAGAGCATTACAGATATCTAAATCATGATGTGTATTTATTCATTAAAAGGATATCCAATAGTTACTTAGTTCTATCCGAACTTTGTTTTGTCTTTAGAAAACTGAAAACCTAGCATGTAGAAAATCTATTATAAATAGACATAGTCTTACAATGATACTAGAACATATCTTTGTCAGGATATGACACGATTATCCAAGAGCTGAAGTGACTGGATGACACTTAGAGTACTCCACTCTGTAGAAAGGGGATATGACACATTCTGATGAGGATGGATTAGATTGTTAACTAGATTTTTTTGACTAGAAACAAAATAAGAGTTATAAGATTAGGAACTTCTCTAATCTTCTGTAGCAGTAGTATCTACATGCACCCTAGATACATGTCTTGTGATACAAGTCTAGAAGTAATATCCCCTAGCTCTCAAAAGCTACACGTTACAATTTCTCTGCAGCTATGCCACTGAAAGCGTCAGTCTTATGACCAGAATGCACGTGCTCAGAATTTTACAAGTGCTGGTCAAATAGCACAATAAAGTATGTGCTATTTGTACTAATCACATGCTTTAGGACACGTGCACTTATGTCACAACCAAAACACATGTAGTTTCTCTATATAATCTACATTTTGATTGCATGATGAACATTTATACAACAATATTGCAAAGGAGAGACATTTGCTGAAAAGGCTGGCACAGAGCAAGCTTTGGGCTGCTAGAACAGGTCACTTGGGCTCCCTTCTTCTCTTGGCCATGGTCTGCGGTATCCTTGAGAAAGGTGGTAGGAGGGATGGACCTTAGCTGGCGGAAATCTTTGGGCAACTAAGTCATCTGTGTACTATGGAATAATTAAATATGGGAATGAAAGGGACCCTGTGGAGTTTTCTTCTCTATCCCCTTGCTCAAGGGAGGATTAACGTCACCTAAAGCACTTCTGATGCACCTTTAGCTTCTTCTTAAAAACTGCCAGTGATGATGGATGATGTTAGGGTTACAGGCAAATGATTGGGCTGCTGACTAGATCCTGGCCTGAGATTAAGATAATAAAACAAGAGAAAGTACAGCACATGACATAGGAAACCACTGGATGTAACATAACAACATGGGAAGGTGAAAAAAGTTATGGATGGGGCTGTGAGGGATGGCTAGTTTCCACAGATGGTTAAAGGGACATTACGTGAGAAACAGTCAGGCTTCACAAATGTCTGCAATATACACTTTCTCAGTTGTTTTGGGAAATATAATCTTGCAAGGCCAACAGCACAATAGACTATCCAAGTCTGATATTACCTAGGAAATAACAACAGAAGTACCAAAGTTGGGCAGGATGCAGCGAAACTGGGACCAATGGAGAAAACATGATTAGATGCAGTTTGTTTGTCTGGGAGAGGATGAGGATGATGCTGGTCCCTTTCAGACAGCCCTGCACCTAACTGCTGAAGTTTCAGTGGGACAATAAGCCTGTTCTTTCCAGCATATGCACATCTGCCCAGCTTCTGCAGCCAGAAGGGACCTGGCATGTCTTTTCCAGTCCTGGTGGGGGAAGCCTGAGGGATTTCTTCCCAACAACGATGGGAGAAGGCCCAGTACCTAACACACCATCCCTTCCCAGCCTCCTGCAAAAGAGGCAACCCGTTCCACTGATCATTCCTTTTGCTACTAGAAAGCCTTTTTTTCCTAATATCTAATCAAAATTATCTATCAGGTCTATAACGAAAGACAGAGTTCAGAAAAGGCTAACAACTATTAACTGAGCACTTCCACCTGGAGTGAAAGTAGCTGGAGCCTCAGTGCATCAGGTGCCTATGTCCTATTTTCAGAAATGATGGATGCTTCCAAAAGCCTAGGTCAAATAATAAGTCAACAGTTTCTGTCTAGATCAAAGTTGCATTGGTATATAAACCAAAAGATGAAGTCAATCTCTCTGCTGATGCTGTTAATTGGGTTTAAACTAGATAATATTCTTTGAGATGAATTCATTTTTTGTCACACTGCAAATGGGAAATAAGCTATAAAAAAGTTCCCCATTGTCGTTTTGCATTTAGCAGAATCTGTTTTCAGATCAGTTTGAAACAAAATCTATTATAGAGAAGATAAAGGAACTCAAAGGTATTTTGCTATTTTAGGTGCACCTCTTCTCATAGACAAGCTTCATAAAAATCACACTTCTCTGCATGTTAAGAGACAATATTAGCTTTTTTGTTAGCAAGGCAAAGACCCAAACAAAGAGCATAAAATTAACCACTGCAGAGGAGCTGTATTGCTTCACTGAGTTTTCATTTAGGAAAGCTATATCTTTCATATTTTCTCAGTTTCAGGATTCTTTGTGGTGCCACTTAATTTTTACAGTAAAATTAAAAGTATACATGATGATGTGATCTTGGAATGAAAATAAGCAATGTTCCTTTACAGGACTTCTATCTGAGAAGTCTGAGTAAACCAACAGTTTCATACTGCAGCGCTGCATGAAAAAACAACAATCAAATGGACAAAAAAGTACCCCGAACAGAAAGAGATTGGGTACATTTTTGAGCCACTGCCATTACTGATTACTTCTTATTTTACCAGTGTATGTCACAAGAGAACCAGAACCCAGCTTGACACTGTATGCATAGATTCTTAACATTACTTTGAAACACATGGGGATCCTGCTTTTGCTTATATAGCGCTCTGCACAGTCCCAGAAAGAAAATTATTGTTACAAACATGAAATTAGTGAGAAGAATTGAAGCATCTGCCTGCTCATTGCACTTGCTACCGTTTTCCTTGATTCTATATCCTGCTGTAGGGGAGAAGAGGAGTTCAAATCTTATTTTAAAGGAAGAAAAGATATAACGTGGAACTAGAGACAGCAACAACGATGGACAAAGAGGTCCTTGCATCTCCCTTTCGGCAATTGCTCAACTGCTAAATTGCACTGTATCCTGTTACAACTTTTATAAGGCCACATCCTAAACCATTTCAGTGAAAGGGGTTTTGACTTCAGGTAAAAAGTCAGTAGAACTGTACCTGGAGAGAAGAGGAGTCTGGATATACCAGCAGATTAACTAGTATCCCTAGAGCCGAGTAAAACCCTGGAAACTGAGGGACAAGCTGGCCAAGAATGACACCGTTACGCTACAAACAACTACTTAGCAGTAAATTTCAACAAACTTTCTTGCCTTCCCCACTAGGAGTGATGCAATTAAAATAATTTTATTAAGAGATGGAGATGAAAAAGGCAAGCTCTATTTCCTGGACCAAGGACGCACTGAAGAGAAATCGAGTAGTGAATAGACAGCATTATTTTCAAGGCAAGATTTTACTGAACGGGGCCGTGGGATTCCTGGCCTCAGAGTTTCTTTCCTTTGCTCACATTACCAAATAAACAGTGCTAGCAGAGAGATCGTTCTGTCCAAGCACAAATTCTGCCGGATGCATAAACCTCCACTGAAGTTTAAGCCTCACTTCAGCGTACGCTACACTCACTTGAGGCTGCAAAGTTCAGCAGCAGTATCGAGGCTCTCTGAGCCGACCTAAAAGTCCTCAGATTCAATGATTCATGGGAAGGGCTGTAAGAATAGGGATCGCTTGGGACAACTCTGAAAGGGTCCAAGCTGACGACAAAGCAGCCCTTGGTAAATGAACTTTCGACTCTTTAAAACTTGCTTTTTCTTTTAAACGAAAGTTAGCATCTGTCATGAGATCAGATAAAAAGAGTGGATACTTTAAACAGGCGGATGTTTGGCTCATCAGTTCTAAAAACTGCTCTCAACAACTATATTTCTGGAATGGAAACTAACCTGTTGTACCTGTGAGTTATGAAACAAGGCTATTTATATAGCGCACAAAAAATCACAGTGATGAAAACCAGATTCTTAATATGACTAAATCAATGAGTGAAGTGGATTTCTTGTACATCCTTGTGAAGCACCTAACTCCTGGAGGTAACATTCTCAGGTGAGATCAAAATAACTATAGTAATAACAATCACATTAGTGTTATCAAGAGATGGAGGAAGCAAAATCAACACCCACACTCTACAAACCCCTTAATTCTGTAACAACTTCTTTTCATTAATATCTTTTGTTGACCAAAAAAAACCAAAAAACAAAAAAAAACCACGAAAGGTTTGGGACCTACCATCAATAATACCCTCTTGAAGAGATCCATATCTGCCGTCTCAGTGAGTAGGTGAAGGCTTGTAATGTCTGCCCCACTGCGGTCAGCTCCTAAAGAAACCTGGCTTGGATCGCCTCCAAAACTAGCGATGTTCTGCTGCACCCATTTCAGAGCTGCCAATTGATCCAAAAGGCCTGCATTTCCACGCGCCTCAGGAGAGCCTGTTGTGGGAAATTAAAAATGAATAAATTAAAATGAATCTTAAATTAAATAAACCTGTAAACATTTTAAATTTTGTTTAACTGCTACACTTTTAGTAGCTTTTGCAGCTGAACCTTGATAAAATTGGTATCAAAGTCTGAGGTAGCCTCTTCTAGGGTCATCACTTTACAGATGGACTCTATTTCAGTTTTTACAATTCCAAGAATTTAAAAGAGCTAATATTCAATGCCCTACGCCTTCTTTGGTTAGGATACAGCTCATGTATCATTAACAGGCATTACCATTTTTTTCTGGTGAAAGCAAGGGACAATAGATGTCAGAAAAGCAAACAGGGAATCTGAATTCACGTACCAAACAAAGTGATCAGGAATGTGGCAGCGAACATGAATACTTACTTTAGTAAGTAAGTAAGAAAGATTTGTTATTGATACTTATAGGCCTTATGCAAGCTGGAGTGGAGGGCTCCATGGTCTCTATCTCACAATACACCTGCAAAAAATAATCTGCATCCTCATTTGGGCTAGAATGCAGCTAAAAGCAATTAAAAATTAATCTGCTTAATTTACAATGCTTTCAAAAAGCATTGCTTTCTCTCATTTTTTTCCAGAAGGGTAACACATCTTCTACCAGCCAAGCTACTAGTAAGAGTTTGACTAATAATGAAGTTAAATAGACTCATATTCCTGAGGTCTGAACCTACAACTTA